AATATAATATAATATAAGCTGTAATCAACAGTTTGGGTCTCCATGTATTAATATAAACGGGTGTAATGTTACCACTGTCCGGCGGGGGGCGGTGTTAGCTGTAGAGGAGTTCGAGCCGCCATGTGACCCAGAAGCAGAAGAAGCCTCTCGCTGTCCGGAGATAGAAGCACTGACAGTAAAAGTACCAACTATTATTATTATATTATTAATTTATAACACTACCGACATCTAAAACAACCAGTTTGACCTCTGCAGCCTTTGTTTTTACCGACTTTAAAAACCAAACAGCTGTTAAATAATCCTCGGGGTTAGCATTGTGTCTGCGACCCTCCAGCCGGCCGGGGGCTTCATGTTTAACCACCTATCCGCTGCTCTCACACTCTTCCCCCGCCGCCTCCTCTCCTCCTCCCCGCGGACTCTCCCCGGAGCCCGCCGCCTCCTCCGCGGGATGCAGCCGGCCGCGGTGCGCTGCCTCCCCGGGGAGCCCAAACTCACCATCTCCTTCCGCCTGGACGGAAGCCTGAAGCAGATGCTGCGGGACCAGGACGAGGCTCTGGGCTCGGTTCTGACCCGGATCGCACACAGCACCGCCAAGGGTCGAGGGAAGGCGAAGAAGGGCAGGAAGAACAAGGGGCAGCCGGCGGAGGAGGCCCCGGAGCCCGCCGTGGTGAAGCTGCTGTACGGCGGGGACGAGGTGGACCACACGGTGCTGAACGCGGAGGCCTGGCAGGACGGTTCGGTTCTGCAGGTCGGGGACGTTCAGTACTCGGTGCAGAGGAACCCGCCGACTCTCACCACCGCAGAGCTCCCGGTGTCGGTGCTGGCCGGGTTCCCCGTCTGCCCCACTCTGGAGGTGGAGTTCGGGAACCTGCAGGACTCCGAGTTCATCTGGTTTAAAGAAGATGTTTCCAATAGGAGCTGGTGGGAGGTTTTATTCAGTGTTTGTGCTTTATAATGTTTTACAGGCTCACTGTTTTCACCACTTCTGTCATTTAAGTTCTGTTAAATCTTATAATAAGAGAGGTTTTTGTTCATATGTAGAATCAGAAATACTTAATTGATCCTGGAGGAGATTAGTTTGTTACAGTGGTTCTACTCACACAGCGTTAAAGATTAGAAATAATACTTATTTTACAATATCTGACACTATATAGAATACAAATGTATGTTTACGTATATGTATATAAGTAGAAAGTACAAATTAAAATGGAAATAATAATATAATAAGAGCCTATGTACAAAGTAAATGTAATTTAAACATATTCTGACACAAATAGGAACGAGTTTTAAGATTGTAGTGTTGCAGAAGTTATAGATAATAATAACAAAACAACCTGTAATAACCTTTTCTTTAGTTTTTGTAATAGAGCACGACATTATATATTATATTATATTAGTTTATCACACATATATAGATACACAGGCTGAAACAACTGCTGTAAGATATTTGTTTCTTACTTGTACAACAGAATATTTAAATTTGAGTATTTTGTATCAGTTTTGAGAAAGAAAGCTGTAAGTTTTGTATTTTTAAGTTCGTTTTTTCACTATATTGCATTTTGCACAGTAAAAATAGTTTACATCATGAAGCCTTCAGTACATATATAATGACGTTAAAGTGTTTTTTTTATATTCTTTGTACTCCTGACAGTAAAATGGTGATACCACGCAGCTCTAATATATCGGTATACACGTATGTTGGCTGATAAGTAACAAGAAATAAGTACATAAGTCGTATATTACAGATATATTTGAGGTAATTTAGAAACAGAGGAGTCAGTTTGGCAAAGAGACAAAGTTTCCTTAGAGCTGTGAACTGAGCTGCGTAAAGAAAACTGACACAAAAGCACAAATTCTTCTCTGTCTTGTTCTTGTTTCCAGCTCTGAAGCTACCGGAGCAGTTCCAGGTCAGGAGGCCAGTTGGACGCAGATAGGCAGCGGGAGAGTCTACGTCCCGTCCAACCAGGACATCGGCTACAGGCTCAAACTGCGCTGCACGCCCAGAGACGGAGGACGCAGCGGCTCGGCCAAGGAGCTGATCTCTGTGGGCGCCGTGGAGGCCGGACCGGGCGTGTGCACGTTCGACAACCGACACGCGTACACGGTCAAAGAGGCGGAGTGGCCGTCTGTGAGGGTGGTGTCCTACAACATCCTCGCTGATATCTACGCCCAGACCGAACTGTCCAAGAATGTGCTCTACCCGTACTGCGCGCCCTACGCCCTGCAGCTGGACTACAGGCAGAACCTGATCAAGAAGGAGCTGGCCGGGTACAACGCTGACATCGTCTGTCTGCAGGAGGTCGACAAAGGTCGTTACTGTGGAGACAAACTTTTAATTATGCGTCGCTTTATGCTTCGATATGGTTTAAGTAGATGAGTTTTATATAAATTCAGCTCCTGTTCTGTTGTCAGGAAATAAAGACCAAAAGTGTTTTTGTATCAAGCTGTTTATTTTCTTATATCTGCTGTAAAGTTAGGCATTTTAATATGGGGCCTTGTGGAGATCTAACATTTCATTCATATATAAAATGTCTTTTTATTGCTTTGAATTGAACAGAACTAGTCGTTAGCTGATGTTTAAAAGGTCGTCTGCACCTTTATGTAAAGTAGAATCATCTGGAGGTTATGTGAGTCTGATTTCTGAGCTTCTTCGTGTTCTCTGGACTTTTTTAGGGGTGTTCACAGACAGTCTGACTCCAGCTCTGGACGCCTTCGGTCTGGACGGTGTTTTCAGGGTGAAAGAGAAGCAGCACGAAGGACTCGCCACTTTCTACCGCAGGTAGAAGCTGCCAGCTGAACCTGAAGAAAATGTCTTCTGTCGGTCGACAAGCAATTTAGTTTATTTCATATTTAGTTATCTTCAGCAAGTGTCAGCTAATTTAAAAATGACGTCATGTTGTCTTTTAAGGTCAAAGTTTCAGCTGCTGAGCCGCCATGACATCATGCTGAGTGAGGCGTTGACCTCTGACCCCATCCATTCTGCGCTGCTGGAGAAGGTTTCTGCTAACAGCGCTCTGAAGGACAAGATACTGCTGAGGTCCACCGCTCTGCAGGTACTGCTGCTCACCTGCTGCACTGAGAATTATTCTGTCTTGTAGTCTTGAACCTCTAAGTGAACCCTGGGAAACTGTGTTGGACATTTAACAGACGGATTCATCACAAATAATCGACAGAATAATCAATAATGAAAGTAACTGTCAGTTGCAGCCACAGTGTTTTAAGGTAAGTAGTTGTGAATCTGTGTTGTGAAACTTTCTGACTCATTCCTCTGCAGGTCAGTGTGCTGGAGGACCTGAATAAACCAGGCAGGAAGGTGTGTGTGGCCAACACTCACCTGTACTGGCACCCGAAAGGTAGAGCGACTCGTTCCTCTGTACGAACACACCTGAGTCGCTGATGTAAGAGAACAGAGCGATGATCTGTGAAATTCACATTTCTAAAAACTGAATTAATTTCCTTTTGAAGGAGGGAACGTTCGCTTGGTCCAGATGGGCGTGGCTCTGCAGCACCTGAGTCACGTGATCAACGAGGTCGCACCTGGAGCTCCTCTGGTCTTTTGTGGTGACTTCAACTCCACCCCGAACTCAGGTGACTCCCCGCCTAAAGGCAAAGCAAGTAGCCCCAGTCTCAGTGTTCACTCCCATTAGGGATGGGCGATATGGACTAAAAAAATGTATCCCGATAATTTCTGGTATTTATTCACGGCGTAACGATAAAAAAAATGGACCCCGATTAAATAAACACCAGTCAGCCTAATGCTTTTTGACTATAAATCTATCACCAAAATAATAATAAAGGCTACTTAAACTCACATCAGTTAAGTTCAAGTACGTACACCTGGTGAGGTGTGAGTGACACCAACGAAACCAAGTCTGAAATGTGAGAACAGAATCATATATTTATTAAAAATGTATTCTCAAACTTTTTGGACACCCACAGGCAGCTGAAAAAAAAAACAGGTGCAAACAGCAAGAAAATTAACTTGGCTTTATAACCAAATCACAAAGTAGTGCAACTGCCAAATACAATCTGATAACAATTAAGAAACAAGACAAATAAATAAAAGTTCACTGAAAATGAAATCCAATCAGTGACGACTGATGAAAAAATATGTGACGCTGCTTCTGCATCCTTGCGCATTTTCTGGCTATCGTCGTATTCCGGTTTGTGCTTGGTGGTGGAAGAAATTAGTCGTGTTACTGTTCATACTGTACATGTACATACTCTTTGTATGTACTATTTGTTTGCAAACCTTGCAGGTGGTAAATTGCTGCTCCACGTCAGACTTTTTAAAACCAAACCAGTTCCAG